TATTAATTAATTCTCTGGCTTTACAATGAAAGTCTATTTGATATGCTTTTGTTATTTATGGTGGTTCTTGGGATTACAATATTAATTAAATTTTCGATGAAAGCCTATTCGATATCTGAAACAGTGCAATTAATGCAAGCCTCTACATATAATTTTTCTCCATCTCAAATGCTTCAAAGAAATGGCAGAAGCGAGAAGGGATGAAGAAAGCAAATGTTGCGGACCGTGGGTCAATTATTGGACTTCAGAATAAAAAAAAAATTATTTAAGCCATAAATAAAAATTTAAATATATATAAATGTATATATCGTATGGGTTTTTAATGTTTTTCTGGATGCCTAAACTTAGGACTTTTAAAAGAAAAAAAATATATTTGAATTATCTCCACAAAAAGTGGTCTTGGACGTATAAAATTACATTTGAATTTATGGAATGCCATGTGCATAATGAATATATTATATAACCATATAAAAAAATGTGTTCAATTAGAGTTTAAATTTACTCATACAAAATTTGAAATTTGCTTTCTAAATGTAATTATCTTAGTTATTATTCGTATTGTGAAAATTATAATATAGATGAAATACAATTAAGAATAAATCAATGTAATTATGTAAATTCTCTCTATAAGTTTATTTGAGTATGTACATAATTAGAGAATAGAGATTATATTAACCATACAAAATTTTAATTATAATTTTATATTCTATAAAAATAATAAATACTTGACCAATGGAAGCTCAAAAATATTATTATATTAAACAATTTAAAATATTTTTATTTTTTCTATTTTTTTATTTATATTTATAATAACATAATTTTTCCCCGTGCATCGCGCGGGTGAATTACTAGTAAGTTATAATAACACAATTTATCAGGGCAAACTTGTAAATTTAACTAGTTTAAAATTATTCTTCCACTAAACATCCAAACTTTTATTTTAGTTTTAATGTGACAAATTGGCAATTGTAAACATTTCATTTGTCTTCTTTTCATATTGAGGGTGTTTGGTAAGTAGCTCTTAGTTGATTGAATTAGTGGGTTTGATTAATTGATAATATAATATTTGTTGATTGTAGAAAGTTATTTGATAAATTAGATGTTAGTTAATTGATAGCTGATTATATCAAAATGACGTTTTTAAAAAGCTAATTGAAAAAAATGCTCATTTGAATTCTAGCCTTTTATAAGAATAAGTTGTTATAAATAAGCTAATTAATCAAACACTTATACTAATTATTTAATCAAGTCAAACAATTAATAGTAATTAAACAAGTCAAAATTAACTGATAGACTAACTATTTTATCAAACAGGGTCATAATTAATAAGAGTACATGACATTTAGTTAGAGTATTAATGTACATAGTGTTTTTGGTACAAAAGTGTGACTTCATTTGACAAATATACCAGGAATTGGTGTTTATGTAACCCAACTAAGTTTATCAGTTTGTTGATTTGATAAGTATAAGGTTTTAATTTTTCAAGTTTGATTTTTAGCGAAAAAGACTTATTGACTTTCTTCGTGTAAACCGGTCAACTATATGTTTATATGCAATTTAAACTAATTTATCTCCTTTACCAACTAAGATTACAAGACTGTGTTTATCTAGTACACACTTTCGAATTTTACTTGTCATCCAAAAAAAATGGTCCTTATTAGTTGGCTCGTAATAGGAAATGATAAGTGTACTATGAGGAAGTAAAATTTCAGTCACTTGTCTGAATTTTATTAGAGGAAAAAATTAATAAACGAATCAAAATTATGTTCTACATTTTTTTGGATGAATCAAAATATGTCATATCAGTACGAAATAAAATAGCTTGCACGAGTTTAACTTATTGATTTATTAGATATTAGATAGTACGGAGTATTTAGGAGAAGAAAAGAAGAAAAAAAAATAAGTAAAAGGTGAGAGTACAAGTTTTTTTTTTTTTTTTTTGAAAACACTATTACTAGTAGTTAAATATGTTAGAAGTGGCGGCGAATTAAAGTACAGAAATACGGAATAGTAAATTAATCTCATCAAGAAATCTTCCTCTACGTCTGAACCTATCTATATACGGAGTTAGCAAATTGGTATAGTTCAGTAAGCTCAACTGCAAAACCTGAAGAAGCGTGCGGTTCAAGCGAAACACTCGAAAGAGCAGTGTCCCTCACCCCAACCACTGCCCCACAAATCCCTTCTTTCTCACACTCAAATACCCTCTCAACATTTTCTTGCACAAACCCAAACCATCCCTCTCCGGCTCTGTATTTCTGTTCAGCTGGAAAAAACAAAAAAGATCAGAACTTTGAGACTTTGCTGGGGTTTTCGTTGACTTAATCTGGGTGGTGGGGGTGTGTTTGGCGGGGAAAAGTTTGGGTGGTTGATTGAATGGGAGTAGAGATTAATACCGGAAGGGGAATAATTCATGAGGGTGATGAGGAAGTCCTATAAAGATTCTCTCAAAGCGCTTGAAGCCGATATTCAACATGCCAATACCTTGTATTGTCTTTTCTCTTTTTTATTTTCGGATATTTTTTCCCTTTTAGTTCTTGGTATGGCTTGATGGAGGTTTTTGAGATTCTGGAATTTGTACTTTAGTCTAACTTTGCTTGATTGAATTTCTGTGTTTGGTTTGCTTTAGAAAGTATAAATCTTTACCTTCTGAATTTGTGTTGAGCAGTTTAAATCTTTTATCCATATCTGTATCTAAGAAATTTGATAGTTTAATGATGTTGGGTTGTACCTTCTCTAGCAGGACATTTTGGACATTATGCAAGATGTTTTCCTAGAATAGGTCACTGTATTGACTTCCATTTTGCATTTTCCTGGAGGGATTTCAATTTTCCAGTGTGTATTGGTTGATTTATGAATTATTATGACATTATCAATTGTGAATGTCCCTCTGAAACGTGATCATTGAATGCCATGTTTAATGTTGCATAATTTTGTAGTGTCTTTCTGGGATGCAGGGCTTCTGATTACCCAAGAGAATATGAAGGGGCTTGCCTTCAGATGAGGCTTTCTTATAGTCCCTGTGCTCATGTCTTTCTGTTTCTTGTTCGGTGGACTAATTGTCATCTCGCGGGTTCTTTAGGATTGCTCAGGATCCTAATATATAAGGTTAATTTTGCAGTTCTTCTGTGGTGTTGTTAATCTTTGATGTGGTCATGAAATCATGTGACTCGTGTTGATTACAGGCTTACGAGGATGGCAAGACGAGTATGTATGTGCACGAACGAAAAGCTACTATTAAAGAGTTTTATGGTGAGTAAATTGCAACATATGTGCCAGCATGTTTGGTACAAAACTTAAAAATTTCTCCTTTCTTTAGTGGGAAAGATATCGTGTTATGGAATGTGATATTGGTGATGAGTTTAAATTCACGAACAGGGGTAATATTCCCTTCTCTTTTGCTACTCCAACGGGGCATAACTGATGTTGAAGACAAGAAACAGAGAGATCTCTGTGCAGATAAATACAGCAAAAGGGACGAGACAAGCAAGGGCAAGATTCCCGAGGTTGAAATCGAGAGGGAGGAAGAGTGTGGAATCTGCATGGAGTTGAAGACGAAGGTTGTCTTGCCAGACTGCAACCATTCTTTATGTATGAAGTGTTATAGGAAGTGGTAAGAAATCGGAAAACATTCCATGTTACCTAGTACTAAAATGTGGTTGGAGTTGAAAACTAACATTGTTTTGCCAGGCTGCAATCTGTTGTTAGCTTCTAGTCGCAGATTTCGTGGCAATCTGTTGCTGCTGATGAACTCGTTTTTTGTTACTTTTAGGCGTGCTCGATCACAGTCATGCCCGTTCTGTCGGGACAGTCTCAAAAGGGTGGACTCGGGCGACCTCTGGATTTACACGCACAATAGCGAAATTGCAGACTTGGGTGCAATTGCAAAGGAGAATTTGATGAGACTTGTGATATACATAGAGAAGCTGCCTCTCAGCATTCCAGATCCAACACTTGTTTCCTATGATCCTTGCTTTAGATAATGCTTAATATTAAGGGGTGATTTAATTTGTACATATAACAACAATGGTTTTTTTTTTTTTTTTTTTGGTTTTAAATCCTTATTGCTTCTTTGCTTCAGAACTTTATTACAGTATAGGTGTGTTGGCCATTGCCAGCAAAGGTTGATATGATTTCTGCAGTGTAATTAGTTCATTGATAATGTACAAATGGATTCTTTTCAAGATTTTATGCTTGTCCTCAACACTATATACATACATACATTAGCGGGAATTAGTACTATCAACCGGCAAATACGTACAAGTGGTGAGGTCAAATCATAGCTGGATCCTTCTCTAGTCCCTTGTTGGTTTAAGGCTTAAGCTCAGATGATGACGTAAGGTCAGAGGCTCCGGGGCACAATAAGGCTAAATAGAAGTGTCCAAAGTCCCTCTACATATTTAATGCTGTATTTATAGGAGGTGTGAGGGAACACATGCCGGTCTCTCGACATGTGTGGCATGTAGAACGCATGCATAGGGAAGGTCGGAGGCTTCACAAGTCCCTCCACGTGCCTCGAGATTCCTGACTCTCTTGGGCCCACTGCTACTGGATTTGGTTGAAGGAGACCCTTTACTTAGTCCTGTGAACTCGGGTTGACACGCTTCTAGATCGGTCATGCTCGGCGACGGCTTTATTCGGTGGGACGTCACGGTACCGAGCATGTATATAGTATGATACAGTAAGGAATAATCGTATCAATAACGATGGAAATAGATAATCACTATAGATGATATATACGGAGTAAACCCTACCTTGTGAATCTAGTTGACAAAAGAATCACAAGGAAATTACCAAGTCCAGTTTAGCTGATGTTACCCCCGATCCTATATTATTTCAGGTTGAGGAAATATAGATGAACAGATAGTATGTAATAAAGAATCGATAGCACTCAAAAAATAAAAAATAAAAAAATTAGCACCACTAGAAAACCGGATAGGGTCATAGGGGGATCGTAGTTAGTTACCCGGCCCGCAATACATATGTATATATAGCTCCATAGGTCCTCGTCAACGCCGCTGCAATTTCGTTCAGGCTGAGCACACAGGAAGGAAATTTTGCTCTCTTCTCATCATCAGCTATGGCCGAGGTAAAACAATCGAACAATCTCATTCCCTTTCCGATTTTTGTTTGGATTGTATTAGGGTTTAGTGATTGACTGTTTTTTCTTTGTTTTTTGGTCTTCTAATAATTTTTGTGATAATTCACAGGCTTTGGGAGTTTATTGTGTCTTTATTTCGCTGCTAATTCAGAGTCTCTGACACGATAGTCTCTGGGTACGGTTCTATCAAATGGTGTTTTATGAAGTGAATTATAGGCCAATGCTGCTAACGCAGAGTATTTAATTTGATGTTTCTTTTCCAAAAATTAAAAGAGGAGCCATTTACATCTAGTTAGTATGCACTTGCAACAAGAATTAAACTATACACAAATAAACAATGCTAGAGTATCAGGCATTTTCTAAAGTTGAAGACACCAAGCTATATCTTCTTTGGAAAGTGGTGGGGGGGGGGGGGGGGGGTTGCTTTTGCTACTTAGGTATTCATTTTCTCTTACACTTTTAAATAAGGGAGAGATTGTATATTATCCTGAAACAATTGGCAGTTTGGTTGTGAATTATGCCTGTTGACATCTGGGCATAGTGAAGAATCATCATGGTCAAGAATTAGGAAAATGGAAGCTTTGCATCTGCATTGGTTTTACTCTTATTCATTGAGGTTGCTTTCTGAGATGTTCATATATATATATATATATATATATATATATATATATATATATATATATATATATATATATATATATATATATGACATCTCAATAGTGTTCATAGTTTGTTGGCGATTTATGAATTACCTTGGATACTGATTTCATTCTGAATGGAGAGTAAATTTTACTATTTCATATTTTGATTGTCAAAAGGGTGTATACAAAATTACTTGTTTATTCATATGTTTTGTTTTCCCTCCTAACATTGTGGCCCTTGAATCCATTAGTATAGCACCTAATAAAGCAAGCAATTTATTTATTTTTTCTATCACTAATTCTACAATAAAATTGTAGGTGATTCATCTCAGCAATCAGAGACCAAGTAATTGTTTTCCCTTTTAAGATAGTGACATTTTGTATTATATGGCCACTGGAAGACATATTCCATCAATGTATGAGGGGCATTCTACTCCTGCTGCAGGAATGGCATCTCATGGTTTGTTGCCTGCTGCACATCACTCCATGGGTTCACTTCCTCTTCATGACATCTTGGAGAACAGATTAGGTTCCCAAGCAGCAGAAATAGAGCAACTTGTTACGGACAATCATCAATTAGCATCTACTCATGTGACCTTGAGGCAGGATCTTGCTGCAGTTCATGAGGAAATAGAGAAACTCAGAGAACATGTTAGAAGTATTCGAACTGAAAGTGATATTCAGATTCGGGTCATATTGGATAAGATGGCAAAAAAGGAAGAGGACATTCAAGCTTCTGATAGTATCAAGAAGGATCTACAACAATCCCTTGATGAGGTGCAGAAATTAGTTACAACTAATCAGGAGTTGAGTGCTAAAATAAAGCATACTACTGAAGAATTGGAGAAAGCTCGTTTAGAAGTCAAGAAGTTACCAGAAATGCACACTGAACTTGAAAACTTGCAGCAAGAACACCAACAGTTACGGTAAGCATAGCTTTTAGGATTGCTCCTTTTGTTTTTCTCTTACTGCTACTATTTTCTCATTTGGAGGAGAGGGCTGTAGAGGGAGTATGGGGACTGTGGTATTAGGGGACTCGGAGAAGTACATGAAGCTTCGTATATTTGGACTAACCACAAAATCAACAGTACCTTATTTGGAGCAAACCAAAAGAATTATATGGACCCTCTTTGTAGCCCCCTCAAAATGATGATTGCAATTGCAAGTGGTACTAAATCAGTTTATTCATCAAAACAATATATGCAATTTTGTTATGCTTAGTTTTGGTTTGGGCTTCATATCAGGATGTTTATGCAGTCTTGTTTACTAAGGATTCTATGTGTCTTGACTTTCAGGATGCCTTCATGTGTTGAATTCTTGAATGAGTACAAGCATTTATCAATTTCTTATGCTTTTCCTTGGGTTCTAGATAGTGTTTTTCCTCCTTTACTAAATGTTAACAGTTAACACTACCAGATGCTATTTCTGCTTAGTATAAGTCTTTTTAGATGTTTTAGCGTTGAGGATTCTTTAAACTATTGAATTTTTAAATGTGTCCTAGCATTTGTGGCATTGCTATTGGATGCTTTTCTCTGGTTCTTTGTGTTTTTTGACCTTTAAGAGATTGTAGCATGTCTACTCATGTTAGTGCGGAAGAAACAGAATGTGAAAAAATGTAGCAGATGTGCTTTAGGCATATTTTTTTTAAATATAATGAGATAGCAGCATGTGATTTTTTACTGATCTTTATTTTATTTTTATTTTTGAGGCAAAAGCAAGACATTTGAGTATGAGAAAGGTCTAAACATAACGAAAGTTGAACAAATGAAACTTATGGAGATCGACCTGGTTGGCAAGGCTACAGAAGTGGAAAGATTGCGGACTGAGGTGTTAAATGCAGAGAGGAGAGCTCAAGGTAACAAATTTGTGCTAGTATCTAATCCTATTCTCTCCCTCTCCTACGGTCTTACTTACAAGTGTTGCTATCCATGCAGCAATCAACTCATATGGTCAGCCTTATATGCACCCAACTCCTCCAATACATGCTAGCATGTTGTATATGGATGGCTATGGAAGGCCTCATTCACAAATGGGCATTCACTCTACAGGAGGCACTGCTGGAACTGCCGTCCCTCCAAATCCTGCCTGGGGACGAGGACCATATTAAGCTTCACATGCTAGGCAGTAAGTAAATTGCATTGCCTTGGGGCTTCAGCTGGAGATGATCTCCCCCTTTACTAACTACAGGTGTGCCTGATTGTTTTTACATCTTCCCAAATGCTCTGTCGGGCCGGGATGTTAGGCCTTTTGGGGAAGGTGTGCCTGATTGTCGTGTGACGTCCCTGATTGTTACTCATGTAAATTCTATCTAAGCTTTAGTGATTGATGGTATTAATACCAAATAACTGAAGGATATTAATGAACTGTGATATAGGAAAATGCTAGCCCGGAGCAAGTGTTGTGTTTTACTGTTTTAGTAAACTAGAATTGATACGAGCAGCATCTTCCATCACCTCTGAAAATTCCTTTCTTCTTTTCAGAAATTCCTCTTGCCTGGGTGAATATGTAGAAACGTTGAATAATTGTTGTAATATGTAGAAACGTTGAATGAATGAATGAATGAATGGAATCTTTTCTCTCCTTTTCTCTTCTTATTGGTATTGCCTTGAGCGTTGTTAAGAGCATAAGTTTAAAACAAATTGCACAAATTTTGTTTGTTTAATGTCTCCATTATACATTTTTTTTTTCTTTTGTTTAATTGCACAATCTTTTCTCCAAAATACCAAGTGCAAAGCATTTTCAAATCGCTGAGTTACCAAACACAATTTTCGGCGTTTTATAAATACATTAAAATTATTTAAATTTATTTATATATAATATTCAATAACACAATGCTTTATAATATATATGGTACTATGTTGTAATGTTCAATATAAACAAACAAGTTAGTGTTGTTAAAGAAAAAAAATAGTTTTGATAATCAGAGAATAATTATTTAATTCTATCATATTTTAATTTATTTTTTTAAACCCTATGTATAATAAAGCTATTTAAATTTTAGCTTGTGCATCGCATATCTGCAATACAAGTTGAGACTAAAAGTAAGAACATTAATAATCGAAAAGTTCGAGATCGAAATAATCTCTCTCCAAACAAATATATTTTGATTTTTTTAGTGGAGGAAAAACCTTAGTTACTACACATTATTCATAGTGTACACCAGATAAATCATATCTTGTGATCTTAGTTAATAAAGGATTACAATAAGGGGGCGTTTGGTTCACGGAATCTTAGATTACCCCAGGTAATAAGATTACCTCCAGGAAGGTAATGTGAGATTACCGGAATGTAAGATTACCTTATGTGTTTGGTTTGGATTGTGGAATATGATATTACCGTGTTTGGTTAAGGGTTATATTTTAGGTTATATGAATCAATTTACAATAATGTCCTCAATAAGATATATATATATATATATATAAATAATATTATGTGTGTGTATTTATTTTATTTATTTATATGTATGAATGTATGAATGTATATCAATGTTCAAATATTAAAAAACTAAATATATAAATATACACATGTATATTTTATAGTATAATAATAATAATAATAATAATAATAATAATATTATTATTATTATTATTATTATTATTATTATTATTATAAGGATAAGGATTAGTTAACAAGGGCAAAGTTGGAATAATTCAAGGTAATCTAAGATTACCTAAAAAAAATGGGGGTAATCACATTACCTTGAAACATTACCGCCACATCAGCTTTCAGGTAATATAACATTACAAGGAATCTCATAACTTAAACCAAACAAGGTAATATAACATTACCAGACTCAGATTACCTAGGTAATCAAAGATGACCTGAACCAAACGCCCCCTAAGATAAATCAGTTTAAATTGTTCATAATTGACCGGCTCAAACCATGAAAATAAACAAACAGCTCTCGTTGGAATCAAACTTGTAATATTAGTTAATAATCTGATCAACTTGATTGGGTTTTCTCTATATTTTGATTTTTGAATGCAGGGACTGAAGTGTAATTGTGTAAAACAGCAAAGAATTAATCAAGAAAAATACGGAAAAAATGATACAGTACAAATAAAATGGAAATACAATCTTCATTTCAATTCCTCTTCTTGGCAAAAACTTGGATTCAATACAATAGTGGTCTCTTTCGCAAATGTTGCACCTCATAGCAACTGTTACAAGTATGTGAGCTACATATGTATCAATTGCTTCAACCATTACTCATCTTCCCCAGTTCTTCTCTCATCTGCATCGAGGTCAGATAATTGTTCTTCAATCTTGATAATCTTTTCTTCCTTTATTTTTAGTTTTAAATTTCTGTTTTTGGTTAATTTTTCTTATTTTAGGAAGCATTGCCAATCAATGCCGATTAATATATATTCATTTTTGGGTCTGATCGACGTAATTTCTGTCTACGTTTCATTGGTTTGTGTTTTGTTTTATTTTTCTTTTAGCTGAAAATGGGATTATTGTTCTGAAGGGTTTTCGTTGTTTGAAGAGAGTGCGGAAATGGGTAGGCTATTCTTGCTCTTTCTCGAAGGCAGTTTCTATAGCTGCAAGTACTGTCAAGCACACCTGGCTGTGACTGATGACATTATCTCCAAGGTCTCTCTCTATTTGTGTGTGATATTGATGTACAATTTCACATGTACGCAAAATTGCATATCTGTATTTTGTATAAATGTATGAATGTGTGTGACAAATTCAGGCATGACTGGGCTGGGCTTGTGCAAATTGCATGTGTATTCTGCCTGTACGTGATTATGGAACTTGTAGGTAAGAGATGACTGATGAGTCTAGAAAATAAATTAATAGATCTATCTAAAGAAAGGAAATAAATGTTCTGTAGGTATTTTTAGGTTTGATCTCTACTTTCCTGATTTTGAAATTCTTGTGCTTAATTCATGTCTGTAAGTCTTTTTGACATACAAACTCCTGCAAGGACTGATATAATTTCCACGCATTGGGAAATTTGGAGACATGGTAGCACATGGTGCTAGTGTAGGATAAGATCAATTTTAGGCATCTCTAGAGCTTTGGAGTGTTATCAAATCTCTTAATGTTGACAGAAAGAACTTTCAAGTACATCAATACAGTGACACAGGTAGTTCCAACAGTGTTTTAGGCATCCAAGTCAGAATTTAAATTATCTGTTTCAGTCCTTGGTTACACTATATTCATGAAGTGGAAACAATCCAGTTACCAAACAAAAATTTTTAGGTTCCTCTGAAGCCCCAACAAAAAAGAGGATTACATTTTCAACAATTTGACCAACTTTTTTTGGTCATTATTATGGTGGTCAAATGAATATGGAAATGTCTAGTGACATGTATTAGCTGTTTCCCAATCTGATCTTTCAGCTAGGATGACTCTCTGGTTTGCCCAACGGAGTATGCACAAGTACACTGCAAATATCACTGGCTTCTTTGTCTACACACATAGTGTGGTTTTCCTTGTTTAATGAATTTAGTCTTAATGTTTGCAATGGAATTGCCGAGTGTGTATTGAGTTCTGATGGTTATATGCATAAGTTTAGTTGAATATTCAGTTGTAAGGTGACAGTACACCAGATATAACTTATGCAAATATTAATAGGCTAGCAAAGTGATGAATCTGCATTTCTCCTTGTTTATTTTTGCATATAGCATCCAATATTCTCACCATTGTGGCACTAATCCGGATTTCACCTAGGTTGCGCCTGCAAAGTTTGACTCTTACTCGGGAAAAGGTTTGGGCCAAAACTCTTTAACATGGGCACATGGCGCACACATACAAGAGTTTATCCTCTTCTGACCTTGCAGTTGCTTTAGTAGGCCTGCATACCAACTACCCCAAGCTATTGGGTTGGTAGTTGGAGACCTGCATTTAAGTATCAATTTTGAATTTTAATTAGATAACATGTTTTGCTTTCCCTAATGGGCATAGCTTTGCTGCATGATTCAACAACATGCTTATTATTTTGTTATTTATTACATTCTGTATATAAACAGGAGAGATATAATTGCTGCATAAATTCTTTACTAAAAATTATATTGCTATTCAAAGACATGTAAACCCTTCATTCAAAATAATTGAAAATCCTAATTGGACAAATCATTAAAATGATGAAATTTTCTCAGCCTCCCCTGCCTCAACTCTTCCTCTATTTCTCCCCAAGAGGCCAAGAGAACATGCAAAAAAGAGGAGAAATTAGTCTGAATTCTTTTGTCAGCTTTTATATGCATTAACCTGTTTTTCTATGTATGTTTTTCAATTTATTCATCATGTCTTCCTTTGAGAATGCAAGGGCAAATGTATATGCATATCTATAGATAGACATTAAAGATGGAATGCAAGGAAACTCTGTCACTCTATGAAAATATCCTCATTTAGGTCCATTTCACTACTTGGCTTTTCTTCATTTCTTGTTTAGATTTGTGCCCTAAACCGCAGGCCCAATACCATTGTCCAAGTCAGTTGGGAGCTCACATGTTGAACCTAAATTATAACTTCTAATACACTTTTCCAGTTTTCCAACTCCCAAGCAATGCCAGACATCTGAAATGGGTGTATTGCACTGAGCATTATAGAAGAAGGTTATTAGTACTAATTGCAACATAGTGCAGCTTTGTTAATGTTTTTATCATCCAATATGCTAGTTATCCTGCTACTAGTTGTCATTTGTCTACTTGCTTAATTCTAACCCAAGTGTTCACCTCTGCTTTCAGTCTTTCCACAGCAGGCATGGAAAGGCGTATCTCTTTGAGAATGTGTAAGTATTCAGTGGTAGAGTGCCAAACTTTTCCGACATAGGTTATGATAACAGGGTGCAATCTTTACTAGCTGTTATCAAACTCAGGCCTTTGATAACTGTGCATTCCTCCGGACATCCCCATTCCCGCTTTCATATTTTTTTATTTCATATTAGTTCAAAAGAGTGCATATGAACTTTTAAATGAAAATTATGATAAAATGAATGGCCTTGTGATCTTACTAATAAGTTGCATGCCTTTTCTTTGCTCGTAACTTTGAATAGATTGAACAAAGTTACATCAACAGCACAGTTCACATTTTTGCAGAGAATTGACGGGAACAATTCTGTTGAGAAGAGCTTTATTTCTTCAAAACTAATCACATTCATTAATGTTGTGTGCTTAGCTTTCTTGTGGAACTGCAGAAAGAACTGCTGCCCTCATATTGATGCCATAACAATTCAATCTCTCCTTATGCGTTACAGCGTTAATGTGTTTGAAGGGGAAAGGGAAGAGCGGATGATGATGACAGGAATGCACACTGTTGTTGACATCTATTGTGTGGGCTGCTGCAGTTTGCTTGGCTGGAAATATGTGAGTTTCTCATTCGTCACGTGATACACTTGAATCACCTATTGTTACACATGCTTCTGACATAGTTTCTCCAATAGTTTGTGGTGATAAGTTTGTGCTAACTCCAGGAATCTGCTGAGGACAAAAGCCAGAAATACAAGGAAGGGAAATTCATCCTGGAAAGGTATGTATTGCACTGATCAATACTTTTGTTGTGCTTATATACCATGCCAGATCAAGGTTTTTACGTTTTCTCCAACTGATTTAGGTTCCAAATACTGGGACCTGATGGAAGCGGCTACTCAGGTAGCCATGACGCTCAGCTTGAAGGAGGGAGTGATGGCGATGAAGCTTGATGATCTCATCTCATCTCCCATCATCACTTAAGAAGTAATCATCGGTGACCCATATAATGCAAGTAGCCTAACACACAAAGTTTTGCAGCATATATATACTTTAGAATGGAGATTGTCTTTCCATTTCACAATGATGGCCTGTCCTGTAAAATAAATGAGTAAAATTTAGTCATACCCAATGCAACTTGCTGCCTGCCTATACAGGTTTTGAGCCCATTACATTTCACAAGTAGAATTGTTCTTGTAGATATGATTTTTCAGGTCAATAGAAATTCGATTAGTACGATGTTTCCAATGGAGTGGAGTATAAATGAGATGAAAAATGTTAGTGTATTCTTAGAAAAGGAATGATTTGCACGCTCAGTGGGTGCAGGTGGTGCGCGGAATGTGTACCGGTGCGAGTAATATTTAAAAAAAAAAATTTGTGAGACTTACTAAAAATCAGGTCTTCTTACAAATGTCTTTTTTTTTTTTTTTTTTTTTTTTTTTTTTTTTTTTCTTTTTAATTTTCTCCTCTCTCCTTCAACTCATCTCTTCTCTCTCCAATGTATGTGAAAAAAAATCCCAAAAATTACTGGTGGGATGCCCTTAGGAACTCTCTACTTCTAAGGGTTAAATTATAAACATTCTCTTGCTTATCCTAACTTCACAGAATAATAATAAAACTAATAATTATGGGAAACTAGTGCCCTAGCTAGTGTATTACTATAAATCTGTAGAATATAGAAATAGTGGGTGGTTGAGTGTTAGTTGACATCCCATCATAATTAATTAGGTATCAACCATAGATACTAAACTTAGCTTCACTATTCCCTTTTTGTAATTGTGTTATAGGATAAGTACAACTCTAGTTATATACTCCGTATTACTTTAAATATTATAATTTATTCATTATTTTATTGTGATAAACATGGTTTAGTTGCATATTAAAATGTGTTAGAATATAATCCACAATAAAAAATTTTGAGGAATTTTTGGTGAGATCTAGTAAAATATAGTTTTTGTGAGTCTCGCAAAAAAAAAAAAAAAAAAAAAAAAAAGAAGATAGAAGAAGGCAAAGAAATCAAATTGACCCTTTAGCTTCTCACAGAGTTGAATCCCCAACTCCGGCTAGACAGGGCCAAATGCCGGTGCATATAAGGGATCTGTCTACTTTTGACATAATTCTCACATTGTCGTTATCGAGGTTCAAACATTGGTCTCTTCTCTCAAATACTATCTACTGAATCATTGAATTAAGCCCGTGCGAGCGACCCTTTAACTTCAAATCACTGTGACTCAATAGCTTAGCAAACAATGCCAAATGTTGGTGCACACAAGAGACTGCTCACTTTGGACATAATCCTCACATTGTCGCTACCAAAGTTCGAATATTGATCTATTTTCCCAAATATTACCTAGTGAGCAAGTAAACTAAGCATATGCGGGTGACTTTTTTTTTTTTTTTTTTTTTTTTTGAAAACTGCGGGTGACTCTTTAACTTCATATTACATTGAGATGAGATGTTATACTCAACCAATGGAGTTGTAATTGACTAATTAGTGCATTTAATAAATTAATTGGGAGGATATTCTAGATTTTTTTAAAAAATCATTATTAATTAGTGTGTGTTGTGTAAATAAGTTGGCCAAATTTTATTTTCAATGATTTCGTAGAATTTATGCGTAGATGGAGACATGACCTTACAAACGTGTAGTACGTCAAATAAACCATCATATGCTCGTTTGTATTATGTAAGATGTCTCCACTTTGAAATCTTAAATTGTTATCTGACCTTTTCTCATCTCATTATTAATTTATTATTAATTATTAGACTATATAGTAGTATATATGTACAGACTATTTTACATTTTCTTCAGCTAAATTAAATGACGTATTTTATCATAAATAAAAATCTAGTGCAGCTTTGCCAACTAGAAAAATGACCAATGCGAATGACTTTAGTAAATTCTATCGTGGATCAGGGTCTACAGTGTACTGTAGACACTGGTCCAATACACAGAATTTGGTTTCATAATGTACAGAATTTATATTTATAAAGCACACTGGTAGGGAATATCCCGACCGACATAGTTTCACCACGACCGAGAAGTCTTTGTCCTTTTCTCTTTGTCTTTGCAGGTAACAGGTCGGGCTCCTTGTGAAGAACCCGGTCGGGGTCCGACCGGGAGTTGCCCGAGCAACGATGTCAACCACCGAGCGGTAGCCCTTTGGCGAGAGAGCTGACGAAGGACACGTGGCGGCTCTCTACATCGACAGGCAGGGCACCCGGGAGGATGACACGTGGTGGCTACGTGGAGGACATGCCGAACGGCTGGAATCCTGTCCCCGGCAAAGCGGCTATAAATACCCACAGTAGCTACAGTGTAGGGGACTTTTGGACGATCGATAGGTTGTTGTTAGAGAATCCCGACCGCAGTCAGTCGGTACTCAGAGCAACCAAGTAGATTGTACTTAGGGCCTCTACCGTGATCAATAAAGACATTTACTCGCTTTAATTGGTCTCGAGTTATTTCATATTGCTTACGTATAATTAGCAGTATCATTTTGGCGCCGTCTGTGGGGACCCGTGCAAGAAACCAACGTCTTGACGAGCACCCGGTCTCTATATCAACATGTATCCGTGGGCACACAACAACTTTGCCGACGACCAGGCGGATGCGGCGAGCTCCTCCGACCACTATGCTACCCAACAGCAGGGTCAGACGATGGACCTCAACCTCAACCTCTCACCACCGCATCCGTCAAACGCATACCCGGCCGCCCAACAGCCGGTGAATTACATACAACCGGGATACCCAACACCCGGTTTGCCATATCACCAGCAGCCGATGATGTATCCCGCCCAGTATCCGTACCCGGTCCCACCTCCGCCGTATGGGTATTGGCCAGGCCAACCGATGTGCTACACTCCCCCGGTTGGTTATCCACCATATACGCCTGCTTATACAACTCCAGCCGCCGCCCCTCCAGTACAACCGACCGCACAGGTAGAGCCGCAGCGTCAGTCCGCATCCCGGGCTCGACGCTCGGCTCATTCGCGGTTGGGGTCGGGGGGTGCTGATGCGATGGAGGCACCAGCTCAGGCCGTCCAAGCGGAGGACCCCGAAGAAGTTGCCCGAGCGGTAGCTTTTGATCGTCTTCGACCGGAGATGCGCCAGCGCTTGGGACCCCAAGACCCGAACCGCGGGCAAGAAGACGTACAGATGCAGGAGGCTAGTCAGGAGGCTTCATCTGGGTATAGCGGGTCGAGATCTCACCGACGGCGACGCGCTCGGGATACAGCCCAAGCCGCTCAAGCCGCCGAGCTCAACGAAACTCGAGGATTGCTCTATAACCTCCAGGCGGAAGTTGCGCAGCTCAGGAATGCGTACCCTGCAACACCCCCGGTCAACCAATCGACCCTGCACCAGACGCCTTTCACAGCAGCGGTAATGGCCCAGCCTTACCCGCTTGACTTAAAGGTCTCTGGAGAGAAGAGTTATGACGGACGGGCAGATCCTGAGGCCCACGTGAATGATTTTTTCAGCAACATGATGCTGAAGGGCGTTTCGGACGCCGTGATGTGTAGGGCCTTCTACTCGACCTTCACCGGTCGGGCAGCAGAGTGGTTCCGAACCCTGCAACCGGGGTCGGTCGATAAATTTGAGACCCTGGCGATCAAATTTGTGAGGAAGTTCATCACTTCCAAAGTGGTGAGGAAGTCCTATATGTATCTCGAGAAGGCCAAGCAATTAGAAGGGGAAAGCTTGACCGATTTCCTCATCAAGTGGAAGGCGGCGGTTGGGGAGGTCGAGCCTATGGACGATGCGACCGCCACCCATATGCTTCACATATCTCTCCGGGCGGGACATTTGTATCAAGATTTCATCTTACACCCCCCGACCAGTTACGAGGAGGCCCTTTGGAGGGTCACAGACTATGCCAACGCCGGCGAGGCGAACGCCGTAAAGCGCTTGCAGGAGGTCGGCTCTTCGTCCCGTAAACCGGCCGGCCGGGCGGAACATCGGTCGGGCGATGACAATCCCCGATCCCGCACCAGGCCTGGCGAGTTTACGGCCTTGAACCGATCCGCAACGGAGGCCATGCAATACGCCCAGTCCTGCAATCTCATCAAACTCCCCCATCCCGATCGAGACGTCCCTGACAAGAGTAAGCACTGTGCTTATCATCGATGCGCTGGGCATGACACCGAGGAGTGTACCCACTTACGCCAATTGTTGGAAGATCTGCTCAACCTGGGAAAATTGGACAAGTGTGTGGGGAAGAGAGAGGACAACAAGAAGAATACCGATCGGAGGGATTACAGGCGTTCTCATCACCGCTCCGATCGGTCAGGTCAGGACCGAAGAGACGATCGAAGGGACGATCGTCATGATGACCGACGGGACCCTGACCCTCCGTCTGGTAGCCGCCCGTCCGGAAAGCCTACCATCCACGTCATTTTTGGTGGACTGGAAGATGCTTCCCGACCGCGGACTAATTGCCCGGTCGCAATAGTGGATTCCCGAGAGACCGGGAAGAGGCAGAAGATGGAACCCATAACCTTCACCCTCGAGGACCAACCTACCAGTAGTGACCACGACATGGAGGCGCTCGTGGTCACGATTGACGTTAAGGGGACGGACGTCCAAAGGGTTATGGTGGATACGGGCAGCAGCGTGAACGTCCTTTACTTGGACGTCTTTGAGAAGCTTGGCCTCGACAGGAAGGAGCTGACTCCGGTCGGTGTACCACCGTCAGGATTTACCGGGGCTCTTATTTACCCCGAGGGAAAGATAACGCTCCCGGTCGAGATCGGCGCGCCTCCAAAGTCGATCAAGACGGAGCTGGAATTTGTTGTGGTCAACCTCCATTGCGTCCACAACATTATCTTGGGCCGACCCGCCATTATGAAGATCGGTGGGATAATTTCTATGCCCCACCTGTGCATGAAATTCCCCACCCCTAATGGGGTCGGTGTGGTCCGCGGCGATGTCCAATCCGCCCGGAAGTGTTACACCCGAGCGGTCAACAGACGAGATTCCGGACCCTCTTCCCGGGTGAACACCAAAGCCAAAGAGGAGGCTAAGGAACGGAAGGAGCAGCCTGAGCCTTCCGAGGAAATAGAAGAAGTTCCCCTGTCCAAGGACCGCCCGGATAGGAAGATCAAGATTGGCCGAGCCTTCACCCCCGAGCTTCGAGCGGAAGTTTTGGCCATACTCCGGGAGTATGCTGATATCTTTGCGTGGGGGCCTGAAGACATGCCCGGGATCGATCGATCGGTCATCTGTCACAAATTGGCCGTCGATC